GCCGTCGCATGCCATCGCCTGCTGTAGCGTGCCGTCGCGTGCCGTAGTGGCCGAGACAATTGAGAAGCCCGCCCCTTCGAAGGGGCGGCCGAGACAAATAAGAAGCCCGTCCCTTCGAAGGGCGATTTCAGGGCTGGGCGCGGGCGCGCGTTCAGAAGGGCCGAACCGGTATCGCGCGGCCCAGATCACAGGCCGATGAGAAAAGAGTTTCTCATCGGCCTGCGATCTGGGCCGTCCGCGGGTGGTGACCTGGCCGCAACCTGGGCCGGTAGATATGACGTTAGCGACTCTTATAGTATTGTAGATTTTTTTTTCGTTTTTTTTTATTTATTTTTTCTATTTTTTAAAATATTATGCGCTGGGATCGCCCGGGACCCTGCCCGGGCCCTGGCCGGTGCGGGCCGCCCGGGAGGGTACCCGGGCGACCTTCCCCCAGTCGGGCCGCCCGGGGACTAACACAGTTTTCTTTTCCTTTCGACATTGCAGAAAGTTTACGCATGGTGTTGTTGTTCCTTGTAATTTCCTGGTTGTTATTTCAGGTGCAAAAGATGACCTTCGTCCAGTTGCATGAGTTGGAGACAGTTTCGGCAATGGGACTTCTCTTTCTTGATGGATCATTTTTTTCATATATGCGTGGTCGCGATCCCACGCAGCCCTTCACAATGGTGTTTTCTGGCAAATATAATGGGTCAGACATCAGTAACGGCGCCTCGCCCGAGACAGCATCGTCGTACTACGTGCAGCCTGTTGATATGAGCACAGGGCGTCCAGACGAGAACCACCCGGCACAGGTTATGGGATCGACTGCACAAGTCACGTTAACGCCGGACAGTATCCGAAATGGAACCAGAATGAGCTGGAAGCTTTCAGCGGGTTTCAAGGGCGGTCCATATCTGACATCTCTGAGGAGAAGTGTGGACCCTCGCAATCGCAACTCGAGGGCATTTGCATCGGTGACAACCTCGATGGAGACTATGAGCGGATTCATGCATATGCAGGTGCCACCTAACGGTTATATGTTCATCACTGATAAGGTATTGCATTTGTGAAAAAGTGATGGTGGACTTGGCAGTAGCTTGCTGTTAGATAGAAGGAACCCATTCCCTTTTTTTCTGTTGTTTCTCTTTCTCCCTCCACACTTTTTGTGAAGGCCAAATAGGTTCCTGGATCTGCAATTTGTGAAACGACCATCTCTGACTCCATGACGGATGTGTTAAATATGCAGCGCATAGTAAAGTGCATTTGTGAAATGTTCGTCTAGCATTGCTGCTTGTGATGTATGCGGACTTAACTTAGGGGTCTATTATGAGAATGTGGCGCTTTCTAAAGGTGTTACAAGATATAGTTTGCACTGTTGTTCACAGCCACCACGTCAAGCTCATTTGAATGTGCTGCTGCTTGTTCAACGGCCCATGTAGTAACAGTGACCCAAATCTTGACTGTACTAAGATTGTTGAGGGCATTCGGTGCTGAAAATCCAAAAACTATGTATGGATTCCAATTTCCAAACGAACAGGATGGTTCTGTGAACAAGCCTTTGAAGAATGTTCAAAGTGGGAACTTCTTGAAGCTGAGCGGCTCACACATCCAAATCTTGGCCAGTGTGGTTGAGGTGTCAAGCCCTGTCCCCAACAAACAAAATAACCTTTCACCAACTCCCCTGCATGAGACAACGAGGGTGGATTTTGTGAGAGGATGTTAATGTAGAATTTATCCTCCTATCTTCCTGTTTCCGTCTCTCTGTCTCGCTAGCTCTCTCTATCTCTATCCGTCTCTTTCTCTGCTTGTTGGTTGGGTGGCCAGCTGGTCGGTTCGGTAGGCCGGTCAGTTGGTTGGTTGGCTGGTTGGTTGGTGGGTTGGTAGGTGGGTCGGTCGGTCGGTCGGTCGGTCGGTCGGTCGGTCGGTCGGTCGGTCGGTGGGTCGGTCGGGTGGGTCGGTCGGTGGGTCGGTGG